GTGTGTGTATATATATACGTGTGTGTGTGTATATATATATACGTGTGTGTGTGTATATATATATATACGTGTGTGTATATACGTGTATATATACGTGTATATATACGTGTGTGTATATACGTATATACGTGTGTGTATATACGTATATATACGTGTGTGTATATATATATACGTGTGTGTATATACGTGTGTATACGTGTGTATAAGTACAGACTGTATTCACATGGATTGACTCAATGCATGATTTTAAATGGGCATAGGTTTAGTATCTCGAGGTGATTTATTAAAGTAAAGACTTCATATTATTATATTCTTCTTTGCCGAAATCTGACCATTAAATCTGCTGAACCTCACATCACTGGAGGTATAACCATATCCACTCATCATAACTAATTATAGAACATTAAGTTAAGTGTGGGAACTAGAAACATGGTTGTACAAAGTAACAGCAGCAGCAACACATAGATGACTCTTCTACTTGTGTCTGTACGTGTGTGCTAGGAGGCTTCCCAACATGCTGGTTGAATCACAGAAGCACTCAGCCGGTTATCATCAGCTATGATTATTCATCATGATTTCAGCTCTACTCATGTTCCCTTTATTTGAACAAAAGGATGCAGTGTTTCCCTTTTGACATTCACTAAACATTTCTACAGTCGAATACATCTGCAAACTGTCTTTACCGATGTGTTACACAAAACCAGTTCAAATTTCAGTTTCTTAATTCACCTGTTCACACGTTCATGTTTTCAAAGATGCCGAACCAGTAATGTATCATATGTCACATGTATGTAATGCATTATGGGTATTTAAGATGGCGACGCTCTGAGGAGCCTGGTGCTCGATGCGTCACACGGCGATGATCCTTCTCACGTCCGTGGGACGACACCAGCACCCGGAAGCTCAAGCAGCTAAATGGAATTCAGCCATCACACATTTCATCGTTGTACTTTCCTTATGTAGTCGTGTCTACTGTGATACTACGATAACTGAATGGATTATGAAATAAAGAGACCCACAACACATTCAGTACTAAACCACATCCACAGCGTCACGCGCTGCTTGTTTTGTGTTCTACAGTTTTCTTTTGAAGCTGTTATTTTCTGTAATATTTTAGAGAGTGGGCCTCGTCTCCTAGACTTCTGCATCGTCGGCAGCTTTACAGTAGAAAGAAGTCTTGGACTTTATTTTGTTATTAAGTGAACTACAACTTCACCACAGTGGACACCCACAAAGCCTGAATAAATATGTGGGAATACCCGACTCTTATGTCAACCCCCGGGGAAAGTCATGCTTCCCTAACCGGAAATTACCGAAACCCACTGACATCTGGGACTTTTGCTCCTTTGCACTCCGGTTTTCATAATCGGCTCTGAATATAGAAACGGAAGAATTCGTTTTAAATCATTTTTATTCTGCTTCAAAGAAGCTAAACCTTTGGTCTTTATCAGACGTATTGAGTCCCACTGGGACAAACCCTCGAAGATATTCAACATATGTAAATACAAAGTTTTCTTCATCCACTCAGCATTCTAAATATTTCAAACATGTCAAATACGAAACAGACCAAATAAATAGATAATTATTCAAATATTATACGTGGTTCAATTATTTTACAAAACTATACAATAGCTATTTTCTCCGATGACGAGGTCATCGATATGAAGAGACGTACATAGTGATACCCAGTTTACATTAGCTGCACGAGGCACAGCTGTAAACGAATCCTACAAAACACATAAATATATCAATTATGATGTCATCCATTATGACAATAAATAAGCCTATAAAAAAGGCTGATATGATTTGACTTGTGAAGCCTCATAAATGATCCCAGGGTGTCTTCCAGCAGAGAGCAGCTGTACCAGAGTTCCCTCTGCTGTCTGCTCACCAATCACTCCTTCAGACCTTCAGACCTGACACCCCGAGGGTCCACTTCCCGGAGGACTTAGTGCATTTTAAAACAAACACAGCATGAACTGTAGTGTGCCCCCCGGGACAGCTGGTCTGGATGGATCCCTTCTAGTTGTAGGTGTTGGCTCTGGTGCAGGTGCAGCCCACAGCTACTTCCACAGTAACCGGCTTCAAATGGTATTTCTTCCCGTCGTCGCAGAGCTCCCTCCTGAGAAACAGCCTGCTCTGCATTACGGGGGACGAGTTGTAGTTGTGGCTCTCCACCGGGGGTTTGTTGTCCTGGATCAGGACGCAGCCCGAACACAAGCACCGAGCCTCGGCATAGGTGGAAGGAAAGTGATCCTTCTTCGTTACGAGTCTGGAAAGGAACAAGAGGACTCGGTGAGCAGCTTCTCCAAAGACAGCAAGGACATGTGACATCCAATGAGATCATGCTTTCCTCACGGCCTCAGTCCAGATTGAAACATATCATGGCTGAGTTACCAACTGCCCCAAGGACCCCAGACCATCAGGGGCCCCGAGTTGTTTCTCATTCACTGTTTTCACTTTGTCATTATGTGCTAGGGGCCCCAACCAGAGAGTAAGAGGTCATATTTAACAATGTGTTACTTATATACTTATAAACGTTTTAATGCTAAATAATAAATGTCTTATGCTAAATTCTACTCTGAAAATGAACTATAGCTGTCAAACAAATAAGTTAGTCTGGTGAAGTAATGTAGTAAAAGTGCAATATGATATAGATATAGATGTTTAAGTATAAAATGGAAACACTGAAGTAAAGTGCAAATAGCAGGCCGACTTCCCACCACTGCAGTCCGGTCCACCAGCACCGTGCGGTGTGCTCTGCCTGGGATTGACACTTGGAGGTGACAGACTACACGGTTTGTTTTGCCCTGCAGTTCCCAAACAGATGAGACCGGCCATGGATCACAAAGTCTGTGAACCTTCATGAATCCTCAGAGAAACATCTCCGGCTGCTCACTGATCTCCTACAGAAGACAATCAGAGCTGGAAGTGGACTAGAAAGCTTCGGAAACTCTATAAGTGCAGAGGAAAAATCCCAAATCACTGACAGACAGGCTGATAATATGCTGCAGCGATCAGAGATTACACAATTTACTCAGTGAAGCAATCCACGTCATTCCCAGCGGATGTATGTGCCAGCAGAGCTGCGGTCAGTGGATGAAGAGGGACTTCCCCTTCTCTGGAGCCACGACCGCGTCATCGGCGGGCACCACAGCACGAGCACTACGAGGTCAAAAGGATGCGCGGAGGTGCGCGAATATTGTGCAAATATGAATTGATTTTTCTCCGAAGCTTTACATAACTGAGTGTTATGGCTGCACCTTGCCATCACATGCAAACAAAGCTTTTCTCCATATTTGAACCTGACATGATTCGCTATCTTTAAAAACTTTAGGATCTCGTTCTCACAACTTCCCGAGCCCGAACTGTGACTCCTGATACAGACACAGCAGGGATTTATATATATGAGCTCATTGAGAGTTTCTAACTGGAAGCTCATCAGAAGAGCAAATCAATCCCAGCGAGAGGGTGCACCTGAGCAAACAGTCCCCCTGATCACGGAGACTAATCCGCATCACATAGTCTATCTTCAGGATCAGTTTCTGTATTGAACTCATTTCCCTCAAATCGTCTCCACGTGTCTTTGCCTCCACCGGGGACCTGGTGGAGCGGTTCAACCCTTAAAGTCACTCATTTCATTCACGTGCTGCATCTGAAAACTGTCTTGAATGAAACACACGCGTGCAACGCGTCACAATGATACTCACACGTATCTCCAGGGGGACAGGGACCGGTCCCGGATGTGCTGAGGCGGCTGCTGCGGGAAAAGCGCCACGGGGCAAGGGGCGGGTGAGTCGGGCTCCGCCGCAGTCGAGAGCTCCAGAGACTGCGGGTAGTGGTTCCGCAGCTTCCTCTCCGCCGCCTCGCTCAGCTTGCTGTCATCATAGCACCGGTTCATCCTGCACGTCCACACGGGCACGAGACAAAGTCCAAAGATGAGAATCTGTGGAGGGGCAGACAGGCAGACAGTCAGACCGGCAGACAGGCAGCTGAAGTGCCGGAGCGAGTATAGAGAGCGGCCAGTATCAGCCCTGCCCCGCCTGTCTGTGTCCCACTCACCTGCTTCATGTCCATCCTCTGTCTCTCTTCTGACTGGTAACGAGAGGACCTGCTTGTGTTATAACAGCAACCATGCTCACCCGCCGGCTATTTATTGAGTCGGTGCACAAGGTGGGAAAAACCGGCAGCATGAGGAAATGAAACGCTATTTAGTTCCTGGACTTCCTCTTTCATAAGTGCAAGGAGCCCAGCAGGTAGGGTGTGAGGGCTGGTCGCGTGCTGTTGTCATCGGAGAGAGGGCGGCCTAGGAAACTTCTTAATACGTAGGCACACACGCGCGCGCGCGCGCACACACACACACACACACACACACGCGCGCACTTGAGTGCAGAGAGGCTGACGACATCTTGCAAATATGTCGCCAAACACAAACAGCGCTGAAACAGGAGAGCGCCCTCTTGACCTTTGAACCAACATGGCGCAATGACCACGAGGGGTTAGGCCCGACCTATGTTATGAAGCTGTGTGTATGATATGGTGCTGTATACATATATTAATCTATACATAACGCATTTACAAACACTGCTGAGCAAGGCAATTATTGATACCAATTAAATCCTTTCTTACATGAATTATGTATGTACATGTCTGTTGTTTTAGACCTTCAGAGTGAGGACATTCATGAAAAGTGAGGACATTCATGAAAAGTGAGGACATTTTTAGTTGTGATGGTTAAAGAATGCATTATGTTCTCACAAAGATTTAAGCGCAAGGTTTCATGGATGGAAACGTGTTTTATGTGTGTGTGTGTGTGTGTGTGTGTGCGTGTGTGTGTGTGTGTGTGTGTGTGATGGCATGGTAGGTCACGCTTCATCTGTTTGTTTATTTATTTGAGAACGTTAAGAAATACAAATGAGCCATTGACACAAAATCTCACGCAGAAAAGCACCCTCCCAATGCGTCAGCTGTAATGACGCAACACTAATTTGAATACAGAACTGTAAATGCCATGGGCCTATGAGATCTAAAAATAGCAGGATTTGTTTTTTTGGTTCTTGTGCCAAGAGAATTTCCAGCAGACGTTTGAATGGCACTAACACTGCCAAGTCTCCTTTGAAAGCGATATGGTGATAGCTATTATTAGCAGACCATTGTGATCATATCTCAACGGCACTGAGGCACAACAAAGTCTCTGTTGTTTGCGTTGTATCAATTCTGCTGTGATGCAATGAAATGGCTCCACAGTCTCAGCACCAAGTGACAGTCACTCCCACCACACAGGATCCAGAGCAGGGGTCTCAAACTCATCTTCACTCTGGGCCACATCAGCATCACGGTCGCCCTCAAAGGGCCGGTTGTAAATGTAACTTCTCCTAACATATTGGTAAATAACTGTCTCTGCATTTGATTATTGTTTATTCAAGTGTTAAAATATTGAACATGCAGTTACAGTTGTGTGAAAAAGTGTTTGCCCCCTTCCTGATTTCTTATTTT